GCTTCTCTTTTCAGATTACCTATGCCCACTTACAAGCTCTAGAGATATTACAAGTTTTCTTCTCTCTATGGCAGAAACAGATTCAACATGACTCCAGACACTTTGGTTGGTTCGTTCTTTCTTTCTTTCTTTCTTTCTTTCTTTCTTTCTTTCTTTCTTTCTTTCTGGCATATTTCTCTCTCTCCTCCAGGGCAAGCCATCTTCCAGAATCAAGGAGAAATTAAAATAAGTAAATAAATAAATAAAAGATATGTCAGGTTAGACTTGGTTACGGTAAGAATGAGAACAAGTCAGAAGAGACAGATGTGTTTAATGGTCAGTGCATTTGTCCAAAGGAATCATTTTTACTGGCCAGGAGCCCAATTAAACCTGTAAAATGGAAATCCAGAAAATCAGATTAACGAGCCAGTCATTAGAGAGGAGAAGACCCAGCTAATTCAGTATTTAGCATGACGGATGGACCCAGAGCAAATAATTGGATGACATTCATCATATGTAAAATAAAAGGTGTCACTGAGAGGGAGAGTGGTGATAGTCTCTGGGATTTACAATGCCAGCGGATTTGCTTGTGAGGAAGAGAAAAATTCATCAAAATAGATTAATAGTCACTAAACTTTATTCTTTCTTTGTGTGTTGCCAGAGAGTCACACAAATAACAGTGGAGAGGCAGCAAAAGCATCAGCTTGGTATCCTCCCAACACTGTAAGGATTTGGCTTCCAAGTGGGGAGTGCTCGAAATAAGTTCCTGTGACCATCTAGGTACTGGGTGGGAATGGAGAGTTCTTCTCTCCATCCATGGTTTAGTCCCTAAACAATGGAGGAAATCAAACTCCAAGCATCTCTGGTTGAATGGATTAATCCCCACAGTTCATTATTGACAAGTTAGTCAATGAGTGTTGAGCCCCTGTTCCGTACGTGACATTTTGGGGTTGTACTTATTCCTCATTAAGGGCTTGGACATGGGGGAGAGTCACAGGTGGGCTGTAACAATGAAAAGCTGTGTGATATCAAGCAAGGTAGTTGACCACTCTCAGCCTCAATTTCCTGACCGGTAGAGGTATTATGTATTATATTATGTATAATTAGAATCAAATGAAGTATGGCGTATAAACTGCTCATTGTCCCATTTTCTGTGTAATCAGCTTTCATTGCATAGTAGCTATTATAAATCTAGTTATTATCTCACGCCCTCTCTTCTATGAAGATTTCATTTTTAAGATATACCATCAATGTTATAACAGATTTTCTGGAATATGAAGAAAGGTTATATACACATGCTAATTACAGAGACTTTTATATGTTTTTAAAAAACATCTTGGAGTCAAGAAAATGTATTGCTGTTATAGTGAGATGAGTGAGGAATGGAGACCCTTCTAAGTTATAGGAGGGGGAGAACAGGTCTAGAGCCAAACTTTGCTGGGTTCAAATTTATCTTATCTTGGGCAAGTCACTCAGTATCTTGTAGTCTCTGAAGGGTTGTCATGAGGATGAAACTGGATAATTTATATAATGGCTACATGCAGTTCTGGAGCATGGTAGATGAACTCAATCAATGACAGTTGTGTCATTACTTTTATTATTATGTATTCACCAATCACTTGGCCATGAGGCCAGCACTTCCTAGAAATCAGGGAGGTTGAAACCTTAGAAGAAGACATGGAGGAAAGATTGAAGGAATGTGTGTCCCACAAGAGTAAATGTTGAAAGGGCTGTAGGAATAGAGAGAACAGAGGTCAAGAGTTGAGAGAGAAATTGTAATGAATTGGTAGCATCCAAACCCAACCATGCACCCATTGGCCTTACAGTGAGGTTAAACCATGAATTAGATGGTAGCAGATACAGAGAATGATACAACCAGGACCAAGCAGAACTATGGGAGCCAGGTTGGTATCACTGGGAGAAACTCTAATTCTTAGGTACTGGAAGAACCTCTAGCCTCCTGGGGCTTCATCAGCCCCTTAGTAGTTTGGATCGTCCCATCGTGTATCTGAAGTATAATCTCCATCTTGATTACTCAAGCACAAAGTCTCTCAGTTGTGTGTGTAAGCTTGTGAGAGAGAAGGTCTGGGCTCTCTCAGGCATAGCTGGGCTGAGTTCCCTAATTGGTGGTGTCCATCACCCTGTTGAGGAGACCACTCTGTTCTGCTTTGGCTCTTGGTGATTTGGAAACCCCAAAGGACACAGTTTTGTTTGTGGTGCTGATCAGATGCTCAGTGGTGCTCTCCCCTTGTTCCCTATGGAACCAACTAGGTCTTCTCAGGAGAAGTTTCTTTTAATTGCTGTACTCTGACCAGCATTCACTAACAGGACTAGCCTTCTCTGATGCTGCTTTATTTCCCCAAGGCAAGCTTGGTGACATTCAGGGTGTTCTGTAGAGAGCTGTTTTTTAAGCCTATGATAAGTGACCAGAGCATTTACTTTGGGACTTAAAAACTTTATCACTGGGTATGAAATCTCCTTTAGGGGTGATGAAAATTGTTTAGAATTGGGTAGAGATTGTGTAACACTGCAAATGTGCTAAATGCCACTGAATTTTACATTTTCAGATGGTTAATTTTATATAATAGGAATTTTGCCCCAATTAAAAAAAAAAAACTTTATCATCATTGTCAACACAAAATCAGGTAAATAACTATATCTCAGAGGGAGGCCAGGGTCAGGATGGGTGTAGGGCACAGAGGCACAGAAGTGTATGTCAGTTGTCTTTAAAGTTCTAGTTCTGAGCTGCTCGGAGTGGGGTCCCTGAACCAGCAGTATCAGCATCATCTGGAAACTCATTAGAAAAGACAATTCTTGGACCTCACCCCAGAGTGATCAACTCAAAGACTCTGAAGGTGGGGCCCAGACGTGTGAGTTTTAAGCAGCTTCTCAAGTGATTCTGATGTAGCTTAATTTTAAAACTACTGTTCCAGTTCTTCGGTTGACAGGCGTGCATGTGTTGGTTTTATAATTTATAATTAAAATACTAATTCAAAAAGATGATACGCATGCCTGTGTTTATTGCAGCATTACTGACAATAGCCAAATTATGGAAGCAGCCCAAGTGTCCATCAGTAGATGAGTAGCTAAAGAAGATGTGGTATAGATCTCTACAATGGAACATTACTCAGCCATAAAAAATAATGAGATCTAACCATTTGCAACAACGTGGATGGATCTAGAGAGTATTATGTTCAGTGAAATAAGTCAGTCAGAGAAAAATAAATACCATATGATTTCAGCCATATGTAGAATTTAAGAAACAAACAAATGAACAAAGAAGAAAAGACAAACCATAAAACAGACTCTTAACTATAAAGAACAAACAGATGGTTCCCAGAGGGGAGCTGAGTGAGGGGAATGGTGAAATAGGTGATGGGAATTAAGAGGATACTTATCTTGATGAGCACTGCGGAATATATAGAATTGTTGAATCCCTATATTGTATACCTGAAACTAACATAACACTATATGTTAACTAAACTGGACTTAAAATAAGAAAGAGAGAGAGGGGGAGGAAGGAAAGAAGGAAGGAATTTAAACAAATAAGCTTAAGCAAGGACTAGTGATAACTGTGTATTTAGTACCAAAGGTTATATTTTAATCAGATTCTTTGCAGTTGAAATTTATTTTAAAAAGAAAAAACTTCTTAGCAACTCATTGATCTTAATGTGAATGCCCCACCTCTAAGCCAGTGCAGAACCATACAGATTCAGAATAGATGTCTTATCAAAAAACAAAAACCAGGGGCACCTCAGTGGCTTAGTTGGTTAAGTGTCTGCCTTCCGCTCAGGTCATGATCCCAGGGTCCTAGGGACCAAACCGGTCTCTCCTCTTGATTCATAGCTTAAGTCTTTGCACCAAGTTTTTTCTAAGGTTCTGCCTTCACTCGGATTCTAACATTTTCTCTGCCTGGCAGTCTCTGTGCTTCCAATCTGTGCAGAGATACAGGGAGCCATAGGAGACGCCATCTCTTGGAGTGAGGAGCAATGCGTGGCTTTCCGTAGAGATGTGGCACCTCGCCTGCTCCCCGCAGCCACTGTGGATGGCCACCAGGTTTGGACTGGTGTGGGAAGACTGGCCTGTCTCCAGCAAGTGTGTGATCAGAACAAAGAGGGGAGCCTTCAGCAGCTGCCTCCTCAGTATGGCAGCCGGGTTGCTATTGTCCTGCTATTTTCTCTGAACAGCCTATGGTGACTTCGCTGGTGAATATTAATGTCCCCCCAAGTTAGGACGATTGGGCAGAAGCACCATCTGCAGAGCTGTGCCATGTTGGCAGGGCTTTTCAACAAGCCCAGACCAGAGGACCATTTCTTGGAGTGGTTTCCAGGTTCCTATAAGAATCCATCCTTCCCAGGATTACAGAGCTTGACTCCCCCAGCCATCAGACAGCAGAGCTGGTACTCACACTCAGGATTTCTCACCTTCCAATCCAGAGTTCTTCCTCTGACCCTTGATTTCTTTAAATCACTTGCACATGGAAAGGAACAAAAACTACCTTCTCAATGCATGGATTTCTAAATATGAAGGGAAAAAAATGTGCTCAGAACAGAAATGAAATTAATTTCAAGTAACAAGAGCTTTTGAGCAATAGTAGTTATTCAGATTCAGAAAAAAAAATCATTTCACAATCATGTCATGATTGCAATGGAATAGAAAATTATTTTAAGGCAAAATAAATTGATCATGGGTACATCTCACATGAGTAGTTTCTGTTTGCAGTTGAAAGTATGTATTAGGTGTGTATGTAGGCAGAGCACAGTGATCAAATTCAGAGTCCCTGCTCTCACTGAAGGTGTCAACCATTGGGAAAGACTGTTGTCATTGCTTATTTGTTGTCTAAGTGTTGTGACTTGGGAACACCTCAGTGCTGTGGGACTGGAGGCTCAGTGCCAGCAAGGGATACTCTCTGAAAGGTTATCACCAACCTATTGTGGCTGTTGATGGAGAAGCTAATACCTTCCAACTTGGCCATGATCTCTGGCACCATCTGACTTCTCTGTGTTTCCCTTATGATCCAGGTGACAACAGGTGGAAGAGCCAGCTACTACGTGTCCTATCGGAGAGAGGCCTTTGCCCAGATAAAGCTGCCCAAGTACTCCCTGCCCAAGGTATGTCCAAGCAGGGAGAGACTGCCATGTTGGACTGCAGGGAGTATGGGGCTCTGGCCTCTGCTGATGGCCCCGAACCTGGGTTCTCTATTCTCCTCTCAGCGGGGCATGTAGGCAAGAGCTTTGATTCCCTGTCTCATACATCCTGTATAGTCTGGAGTCATTTCCCAGTGAAAGGAGAGCTATCACACAATCCCTTCTGGGAGTCCCTCCCTCATGCAAAGGCCTTACCGCCAAACAGAAGGACAGGTTCAGAAGGGCCCCAACAGGAGCCTAGACACTATAGGTATGTATGCACAAAGGTGCCCAGGTGAGTCTTGTGGAGTTCATGCTTCTCTCTACATTTTAATGCAAAATGTAAATGCACTACCTATGTTTCTGCTCCCTTCTGCCATTATGAGTAATTATAAAGGAATAATTTACTATAATGTTAATATCAAATGATGGCATTTTAACTCCTTTGTTGGAAAATCTTAAAACTTATCCTGTGGATTCCATCCCTTGTGAACAATGGCTTCCTGGAGGAAAAGGATCTTAGAACCTCAGTCTAAACATGGACAGGATACAATTGCATCACCTAAAAAGGCTCCCAAAAAAGGCAAGGTTCTGGTTGGACACATAACAAATGTAATGTTGTAAAGCATCGGGTCTGTAAGCTGGTGCTGGGAAACAGCATGAAAGGCTGAATGACTACAGAGGTGGGAGGGATTATGGGACAAGAGGGTGGGTAATCGTCACCCCTGGTTGTTTCATTCATTCATCATTCATTAATTCATTCATTCATACATGCATGCATAAATCCATTCATTCGTTTGTTCCTTCTTTTATTCAACTATTGAACTGTTCTTTCTCCCATTTCAGCTTTTACTCGTTGCCAGGCACTAAATTAAGCTCTATGGAGAGAGTAGAAAAGAAGCCACAAATGGTCCCTGCCTTCGTGGAGCTTATATTCTGGTAGAGAAGAGAGACACTGAACAAGCAATAGTAGGTGTAGGGAGTGTTACAGGTATAGAAGTTCAAGGACCATTGTGACATAATGGGTGGAGCTTACCTATACAGATACTGAGGTCAAGTTTCCTAAGAAAGTTAGGTTTAAGATGTTGTGATTGTGTTTAAGATGATTAAGGAGTTAACCCAGCAAACAAGGTTGGGAAATCAATAGAAAAGGCACACATAGGCCCTATTTTAAGAGAGAGAATATGGTCCATTCAACAAACTAAACACCATCTCAAGAGACTGGGTTGTAGAGAGAGGGGTAGAGAGGCTGATGGGATGAGCAGGGAGTGCATTAAGTAGCCCCAGGGGCCATGGGATCAACTCCTCCTTTTCTCTACCCTCTCTGTGACTGGCTGGTATGGGACCATTCTATAACATCGTGGTTGCAGGATGTCCCCATCAGATGTTCTAAACCCAGGCAGGAAAGCAGTATCTCTGCTAGGAGAAGAGGAGGTTGGAGAAGTTTGTAATCATGCTTTTTCTGAAGGAGAAAGACCTCTTGCAGTTAACTTGATGATTTCCACCTATTGGCTCAGGAGAAGTACTTCGGGAACTTTCCAAACCATATCCCCAGCGTCAGGCCTTTTCTGTCTCTGCACTGTGTGCATATTTCATGTATTTTTAACCTTCCGAGATAAACAAACAGTTTGCTCCCCTGGGCAGTGTGGCTGCAGGTGGGGACAAATGAAGCCTGGGATTGATCACAACCCTGGAACACTCCATTAACGATCAGCAACCCCATGGCAATTTATCGCGGTGGAGTACCATCCGTGTGGCCCCTTTTATAGAACTCCATCCAGAGCAGCTTCATTAATATGAGGGCTGCTGTGAAAATAGCTGGATGGTTATCGATCCCCTTTATTAGCCAGCATTGGCTCGGATTTTCCCCAGCCTAGGCCGAGGAGGTAAGGACAGAGGGGGGTGGAAGTGTTTAAAAATGGAAATGGCTTTTAAGCAAATTGTTGCTGTTCCAGGAGCTGCCTCTGCTGTTGGGCGTCTTGCTTACAAAAACAAGGAGAACCTCCCTGTCATCACTGCCCTCACACCTCTCCTCCCAGCCTGTCTGTTCAGAACACGCTCCCCTGGGGTGCTCTGTGGCTTGGAGCGTTTTGCAGAGAATGAAATGAACACCATTAATAATGAGTGGCATTATTAGGAGTGGCAACCTTGTGCTGAGTCCTCCGTAACCAGTCCCTGGGCATGGGGGAGGTGGGGAAGGGGCATGGAAGCCACGCATCGGCAGGGGGTGAGGACACAAATGACCGAGAGCCCTGGTATAGCCTGGCTGAAAGGCAATGGAGCTTCTGAGCAAGAAACCCTGAGCTTTCTTTCCAGCTCTGCCACTTGCTTATCCAGAAGCCCAGGTCTTTTTACCTGTGAAATGGGTATCATGATACCATTGAACTTTACTGAACCCAGTGCTTCTGGAGAACAGTGAGATTTAAGAAATAACCAGCTCTTTTGTGTTCCTAGAAGTAGCTCACTGTAAAAAACCACTTTTCCCCATGCCCCTCGCTAAGATACAGAAGCCTGCCTGTTTACCTTGGATGAGACCAAATTCTCATTCCTTATCTATAAATGGTTAACTGAACTCTTTGTCCCCACTGGGGGACAAACTGGACAAAATGCTGGCTAATTTAACTTGACCAGACTTTGGCTGGCTTTTCGCCTCCTCCCCACCCTAGCCTCTGAACTTGGAGCCACTCTTGGGCACTTAAGCAGGCGCTAGAACTCAGGACAACCCCTATTAACAACCCTTCTGAAAATCAACTGACTGTAAGGAGGATGGTTTCCTGTTCAATGGCCCCTCTCCCACCACTTGCTCACCCTGCTCCCCACATCCAGTTCTCTCTAGCCTTGTTTTACTTTCTCTCCATAAAAATAATTCTTCCCTGCCATCACCCTGAGGGACTTGCAGATAGGATAGCCAGAGTGTTCTCCCTATTGCGATAGTCTTGCACATAAAGACTCTCCCTACCTAAGTCTGGGTTTGCTTTTAGTTGACAGTAGAATATGTTTTATCCCATTTTGAATAATAAAAGGGAAGAGAGGGAAATATGCTTGAGAAAATTTATTATAACGATAATGACAGTGATATTAACCTTTTCTTTAATTTCCTTAGGACAATTTCCCTTAATTTTTACATTTCCCCAAATAATGATTTATCCTTCTTTGCTATGTCACAGCCACACTTCTTAAAATGTTATCTGTAATTCTAATTTCTTTTGTTGCTTCCTATCTACACTTCAACCCACTGTCAGCTGTATTCTGGTCTCCCACACCCCTCTCTCCTATTCCACCAAAAATCCTCTAGCCATTGCTACCAGGGAACACCTCCAAGCCAAATCCAATAAACATTTCTACAACTTTTCTTTCTTTCTTCCTTCCTTCCTTCCTTCCTTCCTTTCTTTCTTTCTACCTTTCTGGAGCACTTGACACTGCTGGAAAAGAAAAAAAATCCACGCCTGATACTCCTCCCTGTGGCATATTTTATTCTGATTCACTTTTCTGATTCCCCTTCTCCTGCCACCCTTAAATGTTGATGATCCTAAGTTCTCCTGGTGTTCTGCATGGTTCTTGGGTGACCTCATCCCTTCTCTTCATATTGGTGACGTCTATGTTCATAGTCCCATCCCATACCCATCGAACCCTGGACTGCTTTTTTGAAGTACTTCCCCTAAAAAATCCCATTTTAAAACTCTAGACCTAAGCTCAGTATCTGTACCTTATATTATATCCCCCAAATTTCATCCCTCTTCTGTGTTTACTTACTCTGCTCATTCATACAAAGACTTTTATTAAATATCTACCATGTGCTACCGATATTTAGAAAATGCTAGAAATGCCGTGATACATAAGAAAGACACAGTGTCTGCTCTTTGGGAGCTTATGGGCTAATGAGAGAGACTGATGTAGAATAAATAATTATGCACATTAATTATGAGTATTTAATTATGATTGTATGAGCATGTTAATGAGAGGATTTTGTAGGTCACATACCTGACATATTAAAGATATGCCTTTTTCCTTTGTCGCCCTGTGGGTTCTGCCTCCTTGGTAGCTCACCAGTCCATTTCATAGGGTTCTCATAGAAAACCTGCTTCCTTAGTCCAGGCCCTCATGTGTCACTACTGAGATGTTGCAGCCACCTTGGAAGCCTTCCCCCTGCCCCACTGAAATCCACCTTGGACGCTGTGATCTCACAGTTAAGCTGGCCTACTGCCGCCAAATCTCTGCACTGGGCAGTTCTCATTATTCCCTTTTCCTCCTCAAAATCTTGTGCTAGTTTTATATTTCCTTCTGGGTAAAACTTAGGTGGGCCAGTGCAGGCCCCTTATGGTGTGGCCACTCTGTCCTCACCTCCCTCAGGGAAAAACTGCTTTCAAGCCAATCAGGTTTCACGCATTTCCATGGATGCCCCCTTGACCGCCCCTGTCTATAAGCCTTTGTATTCCCATTAGTACCTGTACCAGGGACCTTAGTCAGGTTCACAGAAGGCCAGGAGGGCATGACATTCTCACCACCGTTGGGCATCTGCTTGAGGTCATATTGTACATCTTGGTTCTCTCTGTATTTCTATTATAATGTCTGGCGGATGGCAGATGCTGAATAGCGTGTGTTCTTATAGTGAATGAAGTTACATTCAACCCAAATTACATGAAAATGTTTCTATCTTGGGGGGAGTGTTTTCACCATTGTTTACCTATGAAGTCTCACGTTTAGGTTTGCAAAAGGCAACTATGATTCTTCCAAATTAATGGGAAGGTATGGGGGAGTGTTATTTATAATTGTTCTCCAAATAAAAACATGAGTGTGGTTATGTCTGATGCTCTCCAAACTCCAGTTTATTGAAGTGCCAACCAGAATTTACTTACTGCTTTTCCCCCCTCTTCAGTCTCTCTCTTCATCACCAGTCAGATCTCGCTCTGCTTGTTCTCAAGAGTAGCAAGCACATCTTCCTTTTCTTTGGAAGGAGGTGACATATGCTTTGGGGTTAGATTGAGGTTGCAGGATCAAGAAATATGGTTTATTATCATTCAGCTCTCTATTAGACCAGTACTACTGAAAATGAATCATTTGTTCTTGAAAACATAATATTCTGGTTATTATTAGTTGATCCGTATTTAACTAGAAGATCTATTTGGAGAGAGGACACATACCTCAGAGCTTTTTCAAGGAGTGATGACCCAGACTGCATGCACCTGACTTGTCTGGAAGGCTGGTCCAGGTGGTAGGACTTAAGCCTTCCCAACCAGACACACTGACTCAGAACCTCAGGCAGTGAGACGTAGGAGTTTGCTTCCTTTTAAGATCTCCAGGTCATTTTGATGCATATTGAGTTATATTCCCACTGATAACAGAGTTCAGATAGTCTTGGGTTTAAATATTAGTAATGTAATTTATTAGCTAAGTGACTTAGGGAAATTAAGAAATTTTCAAGCCAGCTTCCCAGGGTCCTGGTTGCTAGAGAGCACCCTGTCCCCCGAGCCTGCCGTACCTGTGAGTCAGGTGATACACCCCACACGCACAACAAGGCCGGCTGCCTTCCATCCTGACCGTGCCCCTGTGTTTTCAGTTTTTTTTTTCCCCCACTTCTTTTACATTAGTTTAGTCTAAAATAACTTAGCTCATTCATTTTTATAACCAAAACATCTGGGAAAAGCCCGGCATTTCTATTGCATTTTTAACAGGGTAAGTGAATTTAATCTGTATTTCCTGCAGCTGCTATTTCCCCTTCTACTGGGTTCTCGGGCTTTCATTCCACACCAACACAACACAATTTCATCACAGGGTTTTTAAGAGGAAGCCTTATTTCCATTTTCAAGCAGCTCAGTGGGATCCTGTAATTCTATAAGGTGTATAAGCACAAATGAACTAGAGAGGTCTCAGTCAAAGCGACCTAGGGAATTCAAGGCCAGACGCTGAGATCTGGCAGATCCTCCAATAAAAAGAGCCAGAGCGCTTCACACTTTTCCCACCTTCTTGTTGTCCAAATCGAATGAGCTTGCTCCTTCCAAAAAATGTCTTGGAGAAGTGCTCCACGGTTGTGAAATCCAGAAAGGATTTCAGCAATAAAAGAAGGTATTGCTACCTTCTTTTATTGCTGAAATCCTTTCTGGGAAAGGTTGGGCAAACAAAGTAAAAGCTAGACCCGGCCTGGTGATTTACTGTCAACTTCAGTTGCCTGACCCCCTACTATGAGTGCTTGCCACCACGGTGACAAGGGTCTTCTCCTGCCTTCTTGGGATGCCATTACTCTTTGGCATATCTACCTGTGTAGTTACGCATTTTTTAACTGCTTACATTATGTCCAGCATGTAATGTGCCAACAGTTCCTCCAGACAGCATGAATTCCTTAGCAAAGGACTTGAGTTTATGATCATCTTTGTATAGCGCCTAGCCACGTACGAAAACTGGCTTTTATAAACTCTTCTGAATTGTGAACTGATTAGATTTGATTGTAGAAATGTCCTAGTCCAGGTATACAAACTAAAGTGACTTCAGGGACCAGGGTATTAGCATGAATATATAAGAGGCAGGTCATAAGAACATTTGGGCACTTAAGGCTGAGGCTTCCTGAGTGCTGACTTCACCTAAAAGACTACACCGTCCAGGTATTCGGTAGAGGCTATGATCAGACCGAACATTTGTGATTCCCATTCATCTCATGGGTCATAGGATTGCAACTTCCAATCCGGAGGCTTTCTCCCCCATATATATCCAGGTGGTTAGAAGCTCACAAGTAGGTTAGAGCCGTACAACAGGCATTCAACAGTTGGTTCTGCCACTTACTGGCTTTATAATGGGAAGCAAGTTGGCAAACCCCTGTATACCATATTTTATTCCTCAGTAAAGTGGGACTAATACCACCTCTATTGTAGAATTATTTGGATTTTTAACTGAAATAATACATTTAGATGACTTAGAATAGTGCTCAGATGTTAGCTATTTTTAGCGGTAGCCCAACCTCTTCAGTACTTTGGTGAGAAAGTTGAAGCTCAGGGACACAGACACATTCTACACCATAGAGCTAACTTCTAGCTAGGACCCAGAACACTAAATTCAAGGTTGAGTTTCCTTTTTGGTATTGTCAGTGATTTTCAAATATTATTTTATTAGCAGCAGAACCTCCCTCATCTTTTACTTCCCAAATATCATGCCGAACTCTAGGATAAAACAGATTCAAGTGGTGCCCCTCTGGTTGAAACAGAGGCTGAAGCCGAGAGCCCCACCCACTGGCTCTGCCTCCCTACCACCCTTCTTGCAAAGGATGACTCTGAAGATCCCAAAGAGAAGTTTTGCAGCCACTACACTAAAAAGTTTGAAAACATAAATGAAGATCTAAAGAAGGGATAAGCCTTGTTTTCTTTGCATGTGTGACTTTCCTCCGGCAAGGCTGTATGTCTCCGTTAGTGCTAACACTAACTTTCAGATATAAAAATAAAAAATGAAAGTGTATGAATCCCTTGAAGCCATTGAAAATGATACCCACCAAAGCCCCTTACACCCATCTTACTGTCACTTAGCAAGGAACAAAAATCACAAAGCTCTTAATTTATAGCCTTGGTCTGACACAGAATTGTTTAACATTGCCTATAACTCAGGCTTTTTCTCCCCCATTCATAAGTCATGGTAATTACTCTGGGCCCCCATGGGCAGAGGGATATGGAGATCTGCTGCCTTATAGGTGTTCCATCTTCTTCCAGGACATGCACATCATCAGTACTGATGAGAACCAAGTGTTTGCAGCTGTCCAAGAATGGAACCAGAATGACACGTACAACCTCTACATCTCAGACACGCGTGGCATCTACTTCACCCTGGCCATGGAGAACATTAAGAGTAGCCGAGGTCTAATGGGAAACATTATTATTGAATTGTATGAGGTAGGTAGCCAAGATGGTCCTGCACCTGGGTCTGCCTCTCTTTTGCAGGAGTTTTAATGGGATAAACATGAGCATTGCAGTCAGCCTGTCCTTGGGCAGAAGGCAGCTATACCCTTTCGCAATTGTGTGACTTTGGGCAAGGAACTTAGTTTCCCTATGCCTCCATCTCCTCACCCATAAAAGGGGGATTAAATATTTGCCTTATGAGATGGTTGTGAGAATGAGAGAGAACATACATAAAGCATCTAGTATGGTGGGTGACTCAGCAAACTTGAATAGATGGTGGCTGAAGTGGACATTCTTCTGTGGATGAGCATGATGACGAGCCAGACGCCCAGGTATTTGACCTACGTGGGCTCGCTTGAGTCCCTTTCTCACTTCTACGGACTCTGAGTGGAGGTACGTATCTATTAGTAGATCTTTAATTGTTTGGAAATTTACCTCTTGTGAACAAGTTTTATAGGAAAAGAAGAGTGAATATCAGTGCTGGGGATGAGGGTTTCCCTGAAATGCCACCACATGCCAACATCGGTGCAGGGTGAAGAACTGACCTTGACTTACATTGAGTTCTTGTTTAATATGATTACTGTACTGAGTTTTCAGTTAATATTGAGGTTTTGTTTTTAAATGTGATCACCAGTTAAAGAATAATTTCTCTAAGAAACCAAGTGACTGCGCAGAGGCACTAGAGAAAAACGAATTGTTTCAGTGACCCTAAAGCTGGGTCACTTTTTATGTCTCTAGTGGCCGTGTATGATCTTTGATGGTCTGGCCACAGTCCTCGCCTTGCTGAGATGATGGATTGATTTGAGTAAAGGGGTGTATTTCTTTATCCAGCAGTTATCAGTGATTGACGGTCAACCCTACACCTGCTGTGCTGGTGGAGATCATTCATTCATGGAGGGAGGAGTTGTCTGTCATGAGTGGTACCCTCAGATGGTGTGGTGAGCTGCGCCCTTACTAGTTTTCATCTTTGAGGAGTGGGAGCAGCTTTCAGAACAGAGGGATCGGTGTAGGGGTTCCTGCTTTATAGTGGTGTCTTCTGAGCAGTGCCTGGCAGTGTTCTAGCATCCCTGCACTGGTGTCAAAGTTACTGAAGAGTAGTGAAAACATCAAGTTACTTTTTTAGGTAGGAGGACCACACAAAGGTCTGGGGGTGAATAGAAGTCCACTAAAAAAGAGAGAGAAAAGTGAATGGCACTGGGTATAAAACAAACCCAGTAGAAATACCGTAATTTCCTAGGAGGTTGTTGCCAAGTGCTGATTCCCTTAACAACAAGATCCCCATTTGGGAAATGGCCCAGATTTTTTCTTAGAATTACAAAAACTGGTAAAGGTGACTAAGGTGTGTAAAGAGCTTTGGGAAGCTTACATTTCCTTGACTCTAATCATACCTGGAGGCAGAAATATACTTTGTTATTGGGCAGTAAGTCACCTCTCGTGGAAGGTTTGGATGAAATTTTCCTGGGACTGAGGTCATTGCAACCAGGTTCCTGTTCTTATAAGTGAGGCTATAGAGATGAGAGGATTATTCATACTTCTGTGGTCAGACTTCAGGAGAATGGGGTAGACATTTGCAGCAGATGACCTTTCAATTTAGAGATCCCTGGGTCCCTGACCCTATTGATAAGGCAGGTGCACTTGGCACTGTGCTGTCCCTTTTGTAATAAAGAGTATGTTGGTTACTGTGAATAGACACTCTGATCTGAATTGGAGCATGGATAAAAATGAAGAATGTGCCTAATTATATGTATATTTTGGTCTTGCTCTAGCCAGTCTTGCATTTTTAGTCTTTCGGTGGAAAAGTACATGGTGTCATTTCATCTCTACAAAAGCAAGACATACAACTTCTCTAAAACCAGTTCTTTTGTGTTTGTTCTCCATTTAATTTTATCAAGTTTCATTGTGCCCCTGCTTTGTGTTAAAGCCCATGAAGAAGGCAGGAGAGAGACTGATTCTTGCCCTCAGGAAGCTTGCAATCTAGTTTGTTGGGCTTTGAAGAAGTCAGTGAACGAAGTTCCTTTTTTGACCTGCCCAGATTGGAGTCAGTTGAGAGAGAGACAAAGAGCGAGACAAATGGAGATCAATTGTCAGTTTTACTGCTTTGAAAAGTTGTGTAGAAGCAGGTGGGCTTCCTAATCCTGCCTGCCAGACCTGGATGCACCCTTTTAGTCACATGCTCAAATAGCAAATCAAAAGCTCTCCTGTGGAAGCCTCTTCCTAGAACACCACTATGGTGGGGTACAGAGTATGTGATCTTTGCAAGCAGATTCCCAAAATAGTGGACATGGGGATGAGTTGTATATGCCCAGCTCTTTTTTGCAATGTTCCCAATCTGATCATCAGTCTTTTTGCCCTGCAGAGGAAGAAGTGGAAGGCATTCCGTATTTTAAGACCTGCATGAGTCAAGAACTAGATGGATGCTGTAGATTTGTAAGACTTTGAGCCAGCCAATCTAATTGCATAGAATAGATGCTCATCAGGTACAAGAATGAGTGCCAGATAGGTGTTTGGAGTTCAGATTCTAGAAGGCATTTAATACCAAGAGAATAAATTGTATCTGGACACTATCTAGACCATGACCATATTGAAGGCTTTTAGAGGGTGATGCTATTTTGCACCTGGAGATGCATTCTGTGATTTGGAGATAAAGCTGAATTTAATTGGTCTCTAAGGGTCATTGGTTTTAACCTCCTTCAGTAGAGATTCTCATAGAAACTGAAATTGTGTACCATATGGCCAGATAGCAAAGAGACTATCATTTTTCTGGACTCTGAATGCCCTTGAATAATGCAGCTGGGAAAACTAGTAAGCTTTCACATTCAATTCAACTAAATTAATACACTTTCATAGAATGTATTTTGTTTGATGAGATGAAGCTGGTGCGTGAGACTCATAATCTACTGGAAGGAAACATGACCCTATTAGGGTAGTCAGGGATCCCTGACTAACTTGTATTAAAGCTGTGACTTTCTGTGTTGTAGAATCAGTAAAGAGGAAGGTTAATTCTAACTTGAGGAATTTGCGTGGGGTGGGGGGGGACTTGAAGATGAATTGGCTTAAAGGATGATTTACTGGAATTTGGGAAAAAGGCATGTCTGGTGGAATCCCAACATGATATGAGAATTAGAGTCCAATGAGTAGATGCCCATTTTTATGGAATGTTCAGTGACTTTCGGACACAGTGGGGATAAATACTGCAGAGATACTAGTAAAGAGCTGGATTGAAGAATTGGGCATTTTCTGATGGGCTCATATTTCTCTCTGTTTTTCTCTTATATCTACATACCTAGAAAATGATATTGGCTGTATCATGCAGTACCCTACGCCAAGTTAATGTATAACTTTATAGTATGATGTGATAGAATATTATACCTATTTAACCTTGTCTGAAATGTCAGAGATGCTTTTAGGTAACACAGATGTGAATTGGCTTGGATGAGCACAACCACTTAAATCTACTTCCTAGTGTATCACTCCATCTTGCATGTGGCCCCCTTAAGCTTCTACTTGACCATGGGAAAGGGGCAAAGAAAATTAGAACTTACTTGAAAGTTCACCTTACAGTCTTGGCACTAAAAGACCTTAGAAACCATTGGATGGGAATCCACCCCCACTGAACTCTCATTAAACTGAGTAAAGCAAAGACATTGTCTGTTTCCTGGTCTGTTGGAACAGTCTCCTGCTATATAGAGTCCCTTCTCATTCTTCCTTTAATCCCTTTTTTCAAGTACAATAGTGACATGGCTGTAATTACATAATCAGGTGAGAAAATAATTCTTGAAGGCCAAATAATAATCTCTTTTTTAAGGTGTCAGAGACTGTTGCATCAAAACAATCTGATGAGGACAATGAATATAATCTATTATGTGTTCACCATTATTCTGTGATACTCTTTTCACGCAGAACTTTGTTGTGGTTTCTTCATATCACTAACTCCAACCTACATTTCTTCTTAGTTGCTTTCAACTGATAAATCAAGAAACAAATATTCTTTCCAACACCCTCAATTATATTACGGAAACATGCTCTGAGCTGCTGGTCAGGTGCGTTTTCTTCAATATTTTCAAGGATATGAAGTACCCAACTCATACCTCATTATAGTAATAACAGCAGTGAATCAGGTAATGCCCAAGACCAGTGATGTTGACTAAATAATATATGAAGCCAACCACAGATGCACTTCTAAATGTTCCACCACCCACATTTTTTAAAAGTAGAAGAAAAAGGTGAAGTTAATTGTAATAATATATTTTATTTAACCTAAGTATCTAAAATATTATCATTTTAGTATGTGCTCCATTTGAAAGATTACTAATGAGATCTTTTATATTTTTCTATACTAAATCTCCAAAATTCTGAGTGTATTTTATACTTCCTCCTCATCTCAATTCATATGCTAAATTTTCACCAGAGATACTTGATCAGTATTTACATTTCATAAAATTTACAGTAGAAAAAGTAGATTCACATACCCAAGTTATTCCAAACATATTAAAAGTTTGCCAATAATAGAATCGGGTATCAGTTTTTAAATTGAAGTTCAAATTGATTCAAATAAAATGCAGTTAAACTTCAGTTCCTTACTCCCACTGGCTACATTTCAAGTGCTCGGTAGCCATATGATGGGTAGGCCATAGTATTGGTTTGGATAACCCTAAATTTTATATATATATATATTTTTTTCAATCATTAATATCATTGATATATATATGTATATACATATATAGTCAATCATTTGTCTCTCTCTATATATAGTCTGAATTTTATATATAGTCAATCATTGATCTATTGCCATATCTCTTTGTGGCAGGTATCATTCCCCCTGGTGCCTATGAGTGTACAGCGAGTACAGAGAATTTAGTAACTTGGCTTAGATCATGGAGATAGTAAAATGGTAGAGCTATGTTTGAACCAGTCCATGTATATTTGAATAAAAAGCCCAGGCTCTTCCCACTATGCATTTTTTAATATTAATTTTTTTAATTGAGGTCAAATTTATGTATAGTAAAATTTACCCTTTCTGGTATGCAGTCCTGTGAGTTTTGACAGGGGTATGCAGTTGTGTAACTATCACTATAATCAAGATAGAGAACTGTCACCTCAAAATATTTTCTCTGATGACCTTTTTGTAGTCAACCACTGTCCCACCCCAAATCACTGCCAGACCAGTCTGATTTCTTTCTCTTTCCTATTTTGTCTTTTCTGGATTTTCATGTGATTGGAATTATACAATATATAGTCTTTTGAGTTTGACTTCATTTACTTAGAATCAGGCATTTGAGAACCACCCATGTTGTTGAGTATCTGTAGACATTCCTTTTTTTGTTTTTAATTGCTGAGTGGTATTCTATTATGCGGACGTGCCCTAGTTTGTTTACTCATTCACCACTGAAGGACATTGAAGTTGTTTCCAGTTCTGTGTGACAATAAATAAAATGAATATAAATGTTCACATTAACACAAGTTTTTCTTTCTCATGGGTAAATACCTAGGACTAGGATTGCTTTGTTGAATGTGAAAGACATTGTTTATAAAAAGCCACCAAGTTGTTTCTAAAGTGGTATTCTCATTTTGTATTCCCACCAAAGATGTATGAGAGTTATGGTTGCTTCATATCTTCACCATCACTTGGTGTTATCAGAGGTGTGTGTGTGTGTGTGTGTGTGTGTGTGTGTGTAGCCACTGTGAGAGGAGCCTAGTCGTGCCTTAGTGTGGATTTAATTTGAATTTCCTAATGACTACGTGGATCTCACTAGGATGGGTAAAATTAGATTCTCTGAATCATCCTTAGTATTCTGGTTTCTTTGCCCATCTTAGCGATGTTCCCTTGCTTTCTCTATCCCTGTCCTTGCTCCACATCCTTGCTTTATCATGAACTTGAGTGACCCATCCTTGGCCAGATGGACAGCTGCATACAGACTCCACAGAGACATCTTTCCGAGACTCACCTTCATTGGTCCCTCACCACCGGTTCCACTCTAGGGACAGCCCAAGGGAGACTGTGGTAATTGCTTTTCTCAGCAGAGCTCTGTGGTTTCTTTGTCCTAAGGGCTCAGGAAGGTGAGCAACAGATGCCCATGCCACCTGGACTCAGTGCTCTGCCAAGAGGCTGCTTTCAGCCTCCCTTCATACCTCAGATTGATTCCAGAGGGAAAGTGGGCCATGTAGACCTGTACTTGTGGGTGCCATCCTAAGCTGGTGCCCTTCTCTTGGAGCTGTGGGGCCGGCAGCTGCAAGCCATACTTCTGATTTCAAACAACAGTAGGAGGAAACACAATCAGAGTTTATCAGATGCCTAGTACCTTCTTGGGTGGAAGAGTTAAAATGGGTGTCTCATTCTCTAATAGCTTCATATCGTATGCAGTGAGGCTCAGGAGTGTTTCATGATACTTTTGCATTAGAGACATACCTGTGCTTCCATGTGCACACATGCATGGCTACCTGGGTATGGGTACTAGGTTGAAGCATACCTAATGTGCATTTTGTACTGGGGTTGCAGTCAAGAACTGTGAAAGCTGTTGGCCTGGGGCACACAGAAGCAAAGTGCCCTCTAAACTTTCAGCCTGTGTAAACACGATATGGAGCCAAGAAGCAATATGGGTTTTGAGCAAACCCGAATATGAATCGGAAGTGTTCTGGTTCTCTTGGACTGGAGGGAGATGGCTGTGGCTCATATGCAACTTCAGGAGAAAGGCCTTCAGAGCTGCAGAAGCCTTCCCCGGACATCTCTCCTTCCTGTGTCTTTTCAGACCCCATTCTCCAGATTTTGCTCTTAGAATGTGTGGGGAATGCAAAAAAATGCCCATCCGTTTGCCAAAGACACGCATCTGGAAGAACACAAGAGGCAGCTGAATGGCTAGTTATTCATGCTGGGAGGCATCCAGCTAGGAGGCAGTGGATGGGGGTGACAGGAGCCCCACAGGAGCAGGCTCAGAAGTCTGAGTTGGACTTGTGTATATTTTCTCCTGGGAGAGAGACACCAAGGCCCTGGTTATGTTTTGGAGGGGACCATTTGAGTCAGCGGAGAGAGTTCTCTAGAAACATTATCTGGTGGTCCAGCAGAAAATGTACCAGCTGTGTCTAAAGAAAATACCAAAAGGCCTGCATCAGACAGACAGTTTGAAAGAAATACAGATTCCATTCTCGTGAGGAATAACCGGTAGTCAGGTTTAAGAGAAATGCTTCTGTGGTTGGTTTTAAAGACTGAGGTGATGAGAGAGCCTCAGAGTCCCTAGATTACCATAGAAGATCCCAGTCTTCATGAAATGGCACTGATTTTAAGCAGCCAGGGTAGGGAGGGGTTTTCTGGGAAAGGACAGAACTCTGATACCAGTGCACCCCACCTTGGCTTCTGTCCTTGCCCACCCTCTGTTCAAGTTAGGAATCTAATCAATTCCTTAGTTGGCCCATTGTCAAATTCCCCTGGTGGTGTCCTTCCCAGATAAATTCTGTTCTCCGCTTGACATTCTTTGTCTATTTTTTGCTTGTTTGTTGTTTGTTTTTATCTGGGTTGGCATTCTTTTTCAAGGGCAGTCAGGTTACTTTAAAAAAAAAAAAAGCGAAAACAAAAACAAACTTCTCATTTCACCAACTAAATTATGTCATTAAAAAACAGTAAAAGAGCTCACTTCCGCGAAATTCTTTCCCACTGGTATTCTGTCAGTTAACCTCAAAGAATGGGGAATAAACGCACTTAAAATTCTGAGTTATCTATTTCCAGAAAACCTCTCATTCAATCTCAGGTTTATGTACATTTAAGTGATTTGACTTGCCTTTTAGCTTTGGAACATGCTGGGATTGTACAGGAAGTTAGGGAATCTTTCTTTGACGTAGTGCCGTCATTCACAGTATCTGTTCTTACTGCCCAAAATGTAGACATGGAAGGAATCAAAGTTTGATTTGAATCTGTACTTACTCTAGAACTTTTCTGAATCATAGATTTCTTTTAATTCTCTAGCTTCTTGTTTTGTGGTGATGATCTTCTCCCTTCTAAACATCAAGGGTAGGCAAATTCGATAGATAGGAACTCTGGGAAGAGGGCTCTGCATCATCTCGTGCAGCCATGGTTAGCCAGCTGAGGAAAAAGGAAAGGCTGGGTTGATTCTGTCTGTTTCAAAGTGACCATTGGCTGAGACACAAAGATGACATGGAAGTTATGCAGGATTCTCCAGAGAGCCAGCAGCACAGCCAAAGATGGATGCCAGGTCACCAAGCTGGGTTATCTGCCTGAAAACATCTGCCTCACTACTAATCAAGAGGTGAAACTTCCAGATTTAAGGATCAGAACTTTATGCTTCCAAAATCTACCTATATAAGCTCCTCCTGAGCAGAAGCACATTGCTCCCCAGAAAGGGGTAACTCCTTCGGTTGTTATAAACCAATGCCACCTCAGAGGGAATGTTAATAGTTAATTAAGGATAAGATCCTATGAACAGAATGTGGAAACACATAAAGTGGGAAAAAGCAGATGGGTAAAAGGGCAGTGGGACATCTGGGTTGGGGCAGGCGGTAGAGGGTGCAGAGATGAACTTAAACTTCTCTCAAAGACCACAGGGTATATGGTATGTCTCACCATGTTCCTCTTCTCTTCTTTTGTACCCCCAACACCCTGTCCCAGCACTTATCAGCATTTGGCCCAACATGCTTCTCCATCTCTTGCCCTTTTTCCTAGGTATCAGGTATCAAAGGGATATTCTTGGCAAACAAGAAGGTGGAAGACCAGGTGAAGACATACATCACTTACAACAAGGGCAGAGACTGGCGCCTACTTCAAGCCCCAGATGTGGACCTGCATGGAAGTCCAGTACACTGCCTGCTGGTCAGTCACCCAGTCTCACATGAAGTCCACAGGGCAAGCTGGTCACCTGGGGATGTCCCATCAGGGGATTTTTTTTCATCAAGGGGTCTTAGGAACTTGGCTGGTGCTGGGCAGGGATTTCCCACAAGTCCCAGGGCGATGATCTCCGGGCTGACTGCCATACCACTTGGATGGAAAGTTCAGTTGAAACTCACAGGCTTGTACTTAGAATACACTATGTTCTCTAATTCTTAGTAAGATAAAGACATGTTTAAGAAACAGTGCCTGAGTTCCAGGGTTCTAGACAGAGCTCAGGAGTAGAAACACACCTGCGAACTGATACTGATACGAAATAATTTGATGAGTGTATGACAGATGTCAAGGTAAGCAGAAGTTGCCTTGCAAGCCCAGGAGAGATCAGGCTGGGGTGTCCCCATGGGACAGTGGTTAATCTGTCAGCATTCTCAGGCTGCCCAGTATGTGGAATATTAGGGTAGGCACTCTGGAGGACATAATAAATAAGTAATTTCCTCTGCCCTCAGGTGTGGCAGCTCTAAGGTGGGGAGGGAAGACAGATCATTAACAGTGAAATTCATGACCCTCAGTGCTGTCTTAGAGCAGACCTATGTGAGAAACTCTTCCAAGGCCCCAGAAATGGTTACATTTCTCCTGAGCATAAAAGTTGCCTTTTGCCATTGCTAAAAAGGTTTATTACCAACTTACCATACTGTAAACATTATGTTAAAAACCGGGATTATGGGGACAGATAGGGCCTTTCCTTTCCCTTTTTTTTTTTTTTTTTTTTTTTTTGTTTTTCCTGTAGATTTTAATCTAACCCCCTCTTTTCTGCTGGTGTTCCAAGAAGATCAGAGACAAATGCACACCCACCTCCAGGAACTGGTCACAGTGTGGATTTCCTTTTTTCCTAGACCTTACCCGTGGCTTCATCTTATTTTCTTAGCCTAATTTTCTCCTTTCCCCAATATTATCATTCTCTTGTTTTTATTTATTATATAGGATACATCTCTATAAATCCCTCATCCTTTTTAAGAACACCCAAATAAGGATAAATAAGAAAATATATTTCTGTTAGTTTTAGACAATGTCTTCAAACATTCTAGGTAAAATTCAAGTAACATTATAAACAGGAATCAGATAATAAAGGAGAAAGAGAAGCAATCTGGTTGAAGAACAGTGTAGGGGGCCTGGAGACTGTTCACTTAGCTTCCCCTCTGCATCCCTCCCAGTGGCCGCCTATAGCTCTAAAGAGCTGGATGTCATGGTCAAGATCAGAAACAAGGGAAGGTCAGGATCATTCTGTGGGAAGGAATGGTCAGGGAGGCTTCATGAGGCTGACTATGGACTGGACCTTGATGGATGGGGCAGAGATGAAGGGAGGGGAGGCCTACAGTTGTGATGGGGGCAGCTTCTGACATGAGCATACCCCCTGCCTCAGGCAGAAATGTCTCCTGCCCAAATTTTAATGGGCAGCTCTTTCTGGAAGCCTCATCTCTGGTGGGGCAGGGGTGTGGGTCAGAAGTTGGCTGGAAGCTGTTTTCTTCTCTGTTTCAGCCCTTCTGCTCCTTACACCTGCACTTGCAGATCTCTGAAAATCCATATTCCTCAGGAAGAATCTCTAGCAAGGAGACAGCCCCAGGACTCGTGGTGGCTACAGGTAAGAAAGACATTCCCTGTGCTTCTTTCTCCCTGACTTCTGGAATACATTTATCACTTCTTTGGACTCATTTGACCATTTTGGTGACAGTGATGAGCACTCTCCCCAGGAAATAGGCAGGGTCATGGAACCCCAGGGCCAGTCTCGTGACCCAGGAAAAGAGCTCAAGACACTTGTAACTTCTAGGTTACCTGCATCGCACACAGTCACAGAGCTGTCCCCTGTGCTTATTTAGCAAGAGGCCAGAGTTCCTCTCCAACTAAACTGACGGATCAGAAAGCTTGTTTGTCGTAGGGAATTCTCACTTTAAGACACCTTTGGTATATGAACTTGCCAGCTCACCAAATATAAGTTGGGGTAGTTTTCTCTTTACACAGAGGATTCTTTGCAAAGGCTTTCGCCCCAGAGCTGTTTTTAATCAGGAGGTCTCTGGTGCATGTAAAGGTTTGTTTACACATGGTTAACCACTTGGCTGAGAGCCTGGGGGAAAGGGCAGAAGAAACCTAAGGTTGCATTGTTGGAACCACTGTCCACTGAACATCAATCAGAAATGAAGATAAAGCAACTCTGAAATGAAAATGAAGGTGTCCGGGGAATGTGCTCTGATTAGCCTGCGTCTGATTTCCATGCACCTTTCAGGAATACGTTGGTGGCATAAAGCAAGGCGGGCTTCTCATCTCCGAAGTCAGAGCTCTGGTGTTAGGCTTTTCTCTAATGAAAGCAGATAAATTCACACTGACTCCCTGAGATGGTACATTCTGTCTTGTCTCGTCAACCTGAAATTCTGGCTCCTAGAGTCACTGCTCTCTTAAACACAACTTCCTTCCCTGTGCCCCCAGTGGCAGGAACTTTGAAATGCCGTTGGGGACTGACCACGTGGATGAGATTTGCAGTGAGTGTAGTCCTTGAGCATTCTGGGTCCTTCTGTCAACCCCGTAGGGATTGAATCCCCATATTGAACACCACTGGCTTCAGGACAGGCTTCAGCCCCGGTTAGTAAGAGATGAGGGCAGGTTCTGTTGCTGTTCTGGCTTGGGGAGTGATCCCCACGCTCCTTAATTGAGTCAGACCTCCCAACTTGCGGGTTGGACACCCTGGCTTGGAGTAGAAGCAACATAGAAAACAGTAATCCAAAAAAAAAAAAAGAAAGAAAGAAAGAAAGAAAACAGTAATCAATAATGAAAGTTAATGTTATTTAGTATGCCAACTGTATAGCCAGGCATTGTCCTGTGTGACTTAACCACTCTGAACTTCAGTGTTTTCAGTGGCAAAGTGTGGTTGACGGTATTGACATAACAGAATTGAATTGTTAAATGAAGAACTGCATTTAGGGTCCTCGGACAGTGCCTGGGACATGTCGAATGCTCAGTACACATTAGCTCTTACCATCGGTAATATTACAGAAATTTAACCCTGATCTTCTCGTGAAAATCAGAGATAGGAGAGTATGTCCACAAGATCCGGAAGAGTGCTCAGAGCGTAGTGAGGTGGGATTAGCTGTAGATTTTACCTGAGACTATCATGCGCCCTTAAATTAGTCAAATGTTAAGTCTTTATAAATGAACAAACATGGATACATTAAATAAACATTTGTTTTTGAAAGTTTTTGTCCATGGACACCCGACCCTTGACCAATGCGGGGGTTCAGAGTGCCAATCCTCCTGTAGTCAAAAATCCACGTATAATATTTGGGTCCCTGAAACTTTACTAATAACCTGCTGTTGACCAGAAGCCTTACCAATAATATAAAGTCAATTAACACATATTTTATATGTTATATGTATTGTATACTATATTCTTACAATAAAGTAGACTAGAGGAAAGAAAGTGTTATTAAGAAAATCATGAGAAAGAGAAAATCCATTTACAGCACTATACTGTATTTACTGAAAAAAAAAAAAAATCACAAGTGGACCCACAAAGTTCAAATTCATGTTGTTCAAGGGTCAACTGTATATCAGAATTTACCAATGCCTTTTACTCTGCGCTTTGTAACTCTTATAACTTTGTGTGGCTCCTTGCCATACAAATGTCGCTGGGGCATTGGGAGGGGTGTAACACAGCTGAAGCAATCCCAATGGAAAGCCAGCCCTAGATCGCTGGCACATGCCTCCTCATGCCTGGCTTCTCCTTACCCTGCTCACCAGCTCTCCCTGAGAGGTGGTTCGCTCGCAGGAAAATAATTATGAAGTCAGGCAAGGATGTCTTCAGTGGCTGGCATGGAGCCTGTCTCTCCAGGGCCCTCTCACACATCCAGTCATTTCACCTGCTTCTGGGCGTCCGTGACCCTGGGCTCCATCCCTTCTGCTCCCACCTCCCCCTGCTCTCACCTCTTCCCCTTTGCTCTGAGGTGTGGTCTCAGGGGAGCTGCGTGGAGGCCAGGATTCATCTCTAACTCCTGTTGAGGCCATCTCAGAAGGCAGATGGAATTCCGGTCCGGAGAGTCGGAGAGTTGCTTTTAGCCAACAGGTGCACGAGGGTTCTAAATATTCTTACCACTGTGCTTTGAAGCTAGGCATTAAGACCCCCCATTTTCACAGTGCCTTACAGCATGTGAAGCTTTTTCTGTGTCTCAACTACACAACAGCTCTACGACACCGAGAAGGTGTTGACTCTTCTCAGTCTACAGATGAGGAACTGGGGGATGAAGAGGAAGAGGTGTTGGGCCCACACCAGTCCTCACTCGGACTCCAGTTCTCTTCTGTCCTGCCAGCCCTGGTCCTGAGTCCCTTCACACGCCTGCCGCTCGCTACCCCTGGCTCCCTACTGGGCTTCCCAGAAACTGAAGCTCCTTGGAGGCACATTCCTCCCTCCAGGGCATTGAGCACTGTCTGCTTCCTCTTTCCTCGAGCCCCTAATCCCCTGAATGGGTGTCTGGGCTGGTGAGAGAAACATCTCTTACTCCAGAGGACTCTAGAATTCTCTCCCTCTCTTTATGCTTTTTATTTTTGCCCCCCCCCATATGTGTTTAACTAAGGAGCAGAGAAGGATAGCCCTGAAAGGAAATGGGAGATTTTACAAGTTGTTTAAAGCTGCCAAAAAGGACAGTGGAACCTCCAGGATTTACCAGCTAAGCCATTGGTGAGAGAAGCTCTGTGTTCCTCCCTGTGTGTATCCTTTCTCTCTCTCATTGCACCACTTAAGTGGGGAACAGCTACCTCTTCTTCCAACCTGACCAGAGACCGCTTCGGGGAGCCTCCTGGTTTCACTTTAGCCGGTGAGGCATGTTCTTCAAGTCTTCCTTCTCTGACACCAGAACCCAAATTATTCCTATCTGAGATTTCCCATGGGGCCACTTAAGGACTGCCCACGTTCTAAGAGCCAAGTGTCCTGCATACATCTTTTCTGTTCCTCCCTCTGGGAACAAACGTTCTGGTTTCTGTGGTCAGCAGCATTTCTTTCAGGGCTCCTTTCAACTGACAGAAGATATTTCCAAAAACAGACTTCGCTGTGAGCCTTAGATTCTCATTACCACAAAACCTCCAAAATCAGTCTGGTGGAACTTTGAAAGGGGCTTAGGGAGTTGACAGAACCAGCTCCTGCAGAGGCTACAGGGTAATGAGACAGGCCCTAAGAAGCCATGACGGGGACAGCAGATTCCAGCTCAAGAGTGACTCTGCCCCTGCCTCCATCTCTTGCTCTCTACTGTGTCGATAGACATTACTGATTGATCACCATGCTCTGTTCTTTTGAAACCAAATCTGGCTTCAGAATCCTTCTTAGCAGGCAGCCATCACCAAACGATGGGAGTTGACATTCTCTGCCCCATCCCTCTTTTCTTTCTTCATCTGTGCCTTCCAGAAACTGTTCTGGAAAGTTGAATTCCAGATTCCAGACAGATCTCCACAGAGCTGCTCACTGTGCCTCTCCCGGCTCCTCTCATACCTACTGCCTGAGCTGTGAGCCCTGGGGTTATTTTTGGAAGCCTGAGTGTCAAAACAAGTTGGCTAGCTATGTGCGCCCTGGTGCTGATGGGAGCTTGACAAGCTGTAGCCTGGCTTTAATTTCTCATTTTGAAACATTAAATGTCAGGAGCTCAATTAACATTTTCATTATTGCATTTTTATTGTGCTCTTATTTAGGCTACAGATGTGTAGGAGCTAACATTCCTTTCCTGCTATTTTTAAAGAAAAAAAATATCAGCCAAAATGATAAATTCTTACATCTTTAGGGTACTTTCCTTGTTCTTGATACCTCCCCAAATGCTCATCAACATCGGAACATGATGTAATCATTTGTTGATTCATTCATCCATTCCACAATTATTTATTAAGCAAATGACTACTACATTTGGGGCACTGTTCTGGGCTCTGAGGTGGGGGAGTGCCCACGGGGTATCATTGGGCAATGTAGGTAGACTAGAAAATCTTGATCACTAACTTTTTTTAATGAACGTAATCACAAGGTAATTTTGTGCAAGGGGAAGAAAAAGAATAGGAAAGATAGAATGAAGGGGTGATACGATGGAGGCAGTTAAGATCAGCACAAACCAGGTGCCACCTTCTCCTGTCATCCTTGATGGCCATGATCTGCTGACTATGGTCATTTTATTCTGGGCACCCTGTAAACTTGGTTACATAGTCTATAATATTGGGTCATAAGACTGCCTGGTACTCAAGAGACAAGTGGACATGTTTAAGTTGACTACAACTCACATGTATACACATGGACCCACACACAGGCACACACACAGACACAAACACCAGTTTTCCTTAGGTTACAGTTATACATGAGGAGGAAGGTTGACCTTCGGCCCACCTGCTGCATGCATGTTTACTGTTCCACTCTTTGCCACCTTCAGGGAGCTCCTATCACGATCAATTTTAAGAGACTGTTGGTAACAGCATGAATTGTTCAAGAGATCCAAGCTCATTAATATTGAGTCTTCGAGTCTTAACCATTTAAAAACGCATTCCTGTCATATTATTTACTTTGGTTCCCATATTGTTTTTTTCTTCTTGCTGGGTTTTTGATATGGCACCAAAAAAGCACTACACACATCAACTTTATTTTTATTTATTTTAAAGGAATTCTTAACAATTAATTAATCATTGTTTTTAGTAGTTTCTACACCCAACGGGGAGCTCAAACTCATGACCCCAAGATCAAGAGTCACATCTTTTCTGACTGCGCCAGCCAGGCAGCCCCACATCAACCTTAAACATAACTTGGAAAACCTTAACTCTCTGCCGCCTTCCCCCCAAGTCCCAAATCAGCAATTACAAACGATCTGCTTATGTTTCAGGGAACATTGGCCCGGAGCTCTCATATACTGATATTGGTGTGTTCATCTCTTCTGATGGGGGCAACACATGGAGACAGGTAACTGGGAGAACTGGGGCAGGGATGAGGCATTTAGGGCAAGTTCTGCCAACATCTCTTTTTTCCTGTAAATTCTCAGGCTCAGTATGACTGTGGTTGCAAAAAAACATGGAAGAAGCTGTTCAGTTTGGTCCATTTTTGCTGACAAATGGGCAGTGGGGTAAAATGAAAGCATTGGGCAAGGAACAGGAAGAACTGGAATTTTTTCATTTTTTCCATTCTTTCATTCAGTGTAAGTATGGGACAGCCATTGGATGCTAAGTACTCTGCTGGTTTCTGGGGATACAACTGATGAAATGATTCCTATCCCTAATATGCTATGGATCTGGGTAGATGGGTCCCTTTACCTTGCTGGATCTGTTTCTTTATCTACAAGATGAGCGAGTTGGAATATTAAAAACACAAAGCTGTGGAAGTCTCTGGTGGGTTAAGTATTATGTAGGCCCAACCTAAAGGAAGTATGAAACAGATTAACAGATACATATCTACATGAAAAATTAATTCAATTTTACACACATTTGTAGCACACTGTTCAATAGAACTTCCTGCAAGGAAGGAAGGAAATGTTCCATGTCTATGCCATCCCATGTGGCTATTGAACACTTGAAATGGGGCTAGTGTGACAGAGGAACTGAATTTTTTATTTTATTTTAATCAATTTAAATTTAAATAGTCTCATGTGGCCACTGTATTAAACAACACAGATTTATACAGTGTCAGCTAGGTGTCAAGTACAAACCTGAGGAGGTAATTGAATATTTTGGAGTCCCTTTCTTCTAGGAGTTCAAAATTAAGTAGAGAAAACAGCTTCATAAATAACTAACTATAGTTTAGAATGATTTTTTTAAGACAGAGAGTGCCCATGAGCAGGGGGGACAGGCAGAGGCAGAGGGAGAGAATCTTAAGAATTTTAAGAGAGTCTTATGTGGGGCTTGATCTCATGACCCTGAGATCATGACCTGAGACCGAATCAAGAGCTGGATGCTTAACTGACTAAGCCACCCAGGTGCCCCTGATATTTTAGTGGCATTTTTAGCCTGCAGGGAAAAGGGAGGAATTGATTCTACTTGAGGAAACTGGGGAAGACTTCACAAGAAGAGTTGACTTTTCACTAAGTCTGAAAGGTGAGAAGGTTTTCACCTGAGGAAGATGAAGGAGGAGCACTGAACATCTTGATGCAGGTGTGACCACCGTCTACTATCTAGCTGGACAAGTTCCAGTTTTGGATCTCTTAGTGAAGCTGTCATCACCGTCACCAGCATCACCATCATCACCCCCATTGCTACCACTGTCGCCACTACCACTATCAGAAGAAAAATTTACCAAGCCCACCAGATGCAACCAGCTATTTTAAGTACTATAAGGCATACAACAAAGAATAGTTAAGGTTCCTACCCACGGGCCATAATTAGGTAGATGAGGAGCAGACACATCAGAACATATCTTCAGAATATAAGATAATCTCTTAAGTGTCAAATGAGGATGGAAACTGGAATATCAACTCTTCTGGTACAGAAACTCCCAACAACAAACCATTGTCTCTCCAGCTCAAGAAATAGCTCACCTGGCCGAGTGGCCACTGCAACATTCCTTCCTTGTGTTGCCACTACTTTGGTTTTCTTTTTCTTTTTCCAGTTAGTTAGGGATTCCAGTTTCCACTCCAGTTTTGCACAGGGCAATTGTTCGCAGTGGCCAGAGTGATCGAGAGGAAAGTGAAAAGTGAATGGTGTCCCTGTCTTCCCCATGCTGAGACTCTTATACTCCTCATCCACAGACTTCAATCCAGCATCTTCATTTTGTGTCTTATCACAGAGCCCACATTTGAGCTTTGGAGAGAAAACGCTGGCATTATAGGTTCAGAGTCCCTGTTTCTATTTGATACATAAATGAATCACCCTGAGGTCCTTTTTGCATTAAGACTACCATTAATGTGGACATTTTTATTTCCTTAAAAGGCAAATGTGAGAAAGGAAACCAGTTGAGAGGTTAGGCCTCAGAATCCATTTACTTTTTCTCTATGGTGTTCCTGGGGGCATATATACAGGAGACCCCATTCCTCCTAATCTCTCTCTTTTAAATAGACCTCCTTACCTTTTCTACTATGGTTCACTTAACACACCATCCCAACCTCTCCATCCAGACTGTAGGAAACACCTGTAGTGGTTAAGAGCCAGAGGAATTGTCCAATTCCGGTTTCCTCTAGAAATCTAAAGAAGGAGGTTGGTTTTCTTCTGCAGAAATGTTTTTTTCTGTTTCAGGTTGGAGATATGATAGTTATATATAATAGAAGCATCAATACATGTGGGATTACATCTGGAGTTCTCATTGCTCAGAGCCTAGCATCATAATAGGTGCTTAGGAAATGCCTCTGGTTAGATGGATGGATGGATCACTGAATGTGTGAATGAATGAGTAGATGGATGAATAAGTAAAGGACAAAGAGATGAATCAAGAGTGAATAACTCTAGGTCCCTTGAAGCACTGTGTTGCAATGTACATTCAGAGTAAAGATCCTCAAGGGTCAAACTTAGGCCTTCATCCACCTTGCATGGAAACCTAGGAGGTGGTGGCTCAGTGTAAGAAATTGGTCGTAATGTATACATTAGTGTCTACAGAAATATTCTTTACATTCCTAGATAGTTTATGAACAACACTGTAAGACACAGACCATTTACAAATTAGCAAAAATCTGCTTAGATGAGAAAGAAGAAAGAGCTGAGTAGTAACTTACTTGGATGCAAAGATGGGGAAACATTTTTGAAGTCATATTTTCTTTTGTGTTATCTAGCTGTGCATCTTGTTATCTCAACTCTTTGTAGCACACTGGTTCATAGTACTAGTGGAGGGAGCCCTGGAAATGCCATTTGAGTGGACTTGGGAGAATTATTTGTTCTCTCCAAAGCCCATGTCTTCATCTATTAAGTGGGGATGATAGTACTTGCCAAACTACCTGATAGGGTTGTTGAAAAGCTCAGAACCTAGATGAAACAATGTGAAAGATTTTGTAAACTGTCAAGCACTATGCAAATGTAAGGTGTTGCTATGATTGTTGTTGTTGTTGTTGTTCCAGATCTTTGATGAAGAGTACAATGTCTGGTTCCTAGACTGGGGTGGCGCCCTCGTGGCCATGAAACACACACCTCTACCAGTCAGACATTTGTGGTAAGGACAGCTCCCTACCCTATTAATGAACAATTTTTTAGTGGAAAGTGTTGGAACAAGTTTTTCTGCATGACTTTGCACCCATTTACCCATTTCCTCTTTCATTAATTCATCCATCCTTCCATTTAATATATATTCCATCATCTAACTCTTAGGTAGCAGTGATAGGCCAGCAGATAATTTAGATGGGAAGTATAATGATTAGAGCAGGGTAGTAGGAATGGGGACTCAGATAAGCAGAAAAGACCAGGAATAAACTGTGAGTTCAAACAGCTGAAATTAGGAATCCAAAATACAGGAAATGAAAATTGCTGCAAGAAGAATGTTAGGTTCATATAGCAGACACAAAATTCAGTTCTAGGTAAGTTGTGTTTGCAATGTCTGTGAATGTTCAAGCAGAGATGATAATTTCTCAGGTATATTCATCTGAATGTCAGGACAGAGATCTGGGCTGACACTCCAAATTTGGAGTCATTAGCCGTCAGATGGTAGGTAAAGCCATGGCAGTGGGTTCAATGCCTCAGAAGAGTGGGTACAACAAGGAGAAACCAGTGGGACACAGTTGAGTATCAGCACAGAGGACAGAAAATAAATTATGGAGCAGACCAAGAAGAAGTAGACAAAACAATACAAACACAGGAGAAATGTTTTCATGGTTGCTGAAGAAAGGGATTATCAATAGCACCAAATTCTATAATCAGACCAAATTAGTTATGGAATGAAAAACAATCTAGGATTAAGCAATATAGAGGAGTAAAGGAGGTCATTAGTGATCTGTGTCAGAGTAGATTCAAAAGAGAAGTGGGATTGAAAAGTAGATTACAATAGATTTATGAATGATGAATGAATGAATGATAAGTAATGTAGTGAAGTGGGAACACTGTAGATAACTTTCAATAAAGTTGATTATGGAATGAGGTTGAGTGTGTATATGTAAGACCCTCCAGTGAGGACAAAGATCTGTGAGAATATATTTTGATGGTGATGATGAGAAAGATCTGTGAGAATATGTGTTGATGATGATGATGATGATGTTGATGATGATGATGATGATTCTCTTGTTTTTTTTGGCTTTTGGCAGGGGATGAATGAGTACAATGTATGTTTATACGCTGAAGGGGAAGAATTTCAGGCTTTAGATGCAGCAAAGTAAATATTTGAGAGTGAATATTTGACAGTAGGGGTATGCCAGCTAGAGTGCAGTTGTTGGGATGAACCATGAGCTGGAGGATGGACTCTGGCTTAACTCCCAGATCCTTGATTTTGGGAGACTAACACTTTTAAAGTCAGAGGTTTACTGGGAAGCATCAGATTGTAATCAGGAAAACACATAGGACTTCCAGGTGCCAAATTCAAGCTTCAGTCACCTTGGCAAGGACTCAAGAGGGTTTCTCTCAGTTATTAAGTTAAACCATATCATCTTGCCATTTTTGTTGGTCAAAAATGGTTAAATACATCAGTTTCTTAGAGCTCAAGCTAACATAAATCCCAGTGGTTTTTAATCTATCACTCTGTCTTCAGAGAGATAATGAGGTTAAATTTTTTTAAAAAGTGTATGGAGCCATTTGAAGGAAAAGTGCTCTATCAACTCAAGAATAAGCATATACAAGTTCTCACTGTTATTCTTTACCATCCTTTTACTACTGATTGTATACTTTTTGGGTAGAATCAGAAGTGTGTAATTACTTAATACTAATGATAGTCAGGAGTTTTTGAGGAATTATATTCCAGGCACCATTCTAAACCCTTTACATGAATTATCTCAGTTAGTTCTTTAACAACCCAACAACCTTATGTGTGTGGGTACTCTTTTTAATCACATATTTATAATGGCATTGAAATGCAGACATAATAAATTCCTTGCTCAAGGATACATAGCTAGTACCTAGCAGCACTAAGTTGGATCTCTGTTACAGATGTTCTTCTGTTTTAAATGAATTTTCCAGATACTTTAATGAGTACTCAGAGGCTTATCACATGGCCCCAGCTCTCTGGGAAGTCATAGTTAAGATAAGGGGCTTAGGTAGTCCACAGATCACCAGAAATCCAAGCAATGCCTGCTAAAGTTTGCTGGCCGTATATATTGCTGGGATCTTAGCAGAGCATGGAGTCCTGCCTAGTGTGTAAGGGGGTCTTCAGGTAGCTGCTGACATGAGAGTTAGTTCTTGAAAAAGGCTGCCAGGAGTCAGAGGGCTGATGAAAGGCAAGCCAAGGGGAGAGAGACTGTGACCAAAACCTGGGATTCAGGAAAAGCAGGGAGTGTTCAGAAAATATAGTTGATTGGAATCAAAGGTGGGAGTAAATTAGGGTGCATGGGACTCAGAAGAACTTAAATGCCGGGTTGAGCCTGTAGGTAATTCCTTCTTCTGCAAAGACCTGCCTCCTTGTGGAGGGAAGAGCCTCTCTATTGAGGACTGAATAGCACTTGTACTCTCAGACAGGATTACTTGACTCTTTAAACAAGTTCAGTTGTTTGTTTTTTAACCAAGAAAGGCAACATTTTTTAGCCCTTATTATGCTGTTCTAAGAACTTCCATTGATGTCTCAATAAGAAAATTGGTAAATGTCCTGAGGACAGATAGAGCTGAGCAGAATTCTTCCACTTAAGTCTCAAGAGAAGGGTGTGACAACCCCATCTCACACTTGACCATCACGCTCCTGCTCTTTCTCCCTCATTATGGTAGGAACCTAGTACTTACTTAGTGATTGATTTCTAGAGTCTTTTGCACAAACGTTTCCTTGTTCTAAGGAAAAGAGGAATTTGGTAGTGTTATTTCCTTCTGGGGATAGGAGAAGCAAGTATATCTGGCATGGAACAGAGGGATAGAGAGTTTTGGTTTTGGTTCATCTTCCATCCTTACACCTGACCATTCAGTCTGTTCTGTAGTAGTTTCTCACCCAAGACCTGATCATTTCCAAAAGGAGCATTTGTCTGGGAGTTTCTGGAGGGTAACCATCCAAGCTGGGAGAATTGTTTAATATTCTCTCAGGGATATCGAAGTAGGATAAAATCGTGCCTCTCTAAGTCAGGAGTACAAAGCCTTGCTCCATGAAATCTTTTTTGTTGGTAGAAGATGTTGGTAAAGCTCAGAAAAAATAGCTACATTCCCATTCAACTTCCTCTTACGATAATGTTAACACCTCCCTCCCTGTGTTTGCCTACTCCAACTTACAAAGTATTAAATGTGATTTTTCATACTAAGCTTTTGAGATAGAATTTTCTCCATTTAACGGATGTCGACACTGCCATTTGTCATAAATGCTACAAATGTTCCCTTGAACTTAACCACCACCCGTGATTTCTGCTTACTTGCCTACCTGTGAATGCCATTCTCTGAAATAATCTCTGCAATGGTTAAAGCCAGCTCTCGAAGCTGTGTGTTAGAACACAAATAACCCATTCAAAAATTCTGCTTTGCACTTCTCTTTCAAAGGCTAAGTAAGTGTTTTGGAAGGACTTAACCATACCATTATCACCAGTGTTCCTTATGAAATTCTGGACTGATTTTTGTCTCATGCATATAAATTGCAAGCTTGTGAAACTCAAGCAGTTTCTTCATCACCAGTGGCTTCTAATTAAGTTACAACCTTCAAGGTAAAAAAATAGCTCATTTTAAGTGAGAGAAAAGTTATCAGTTCATTGTTATTTTCTGGGTAGGCCTCAAACTGACATTATATTTAACACAGATGTGTATATATATTTGCATAGAAAAAAAAGCCCCACACCAGCCTACCCACTCTTACACAAGGGTATAGTGGTTCTCGAATTTAAATAATAGCTACATTGCCTTTCAGAGAAAAGAGGAGTCATAATTGAAAAGCTGAGGAAATGTTAGCTAGACTAATAAGGCATGCTGTTTCCCATAAACTGAAATGATAGGTAGCTAGATACACATGACAACAAAACAGCATACAAATGAGCCCATCTATTTGTGACCGTGTACATTTGGATGCGTAGAGATTAGAACCTAAGTGCTGTTTCAGGTAAGCCCTCCATCCAGTGTTATCTTTAGACCATGAATGCATTAGGGTGAAATGAATAATGGAGCCCTATGGAATGCAGTGCTCTAATGAAGACTCACAATAGACAGAGCTACTAATTGGTAGGTAGACAGGGGTCCTACCGCTTACTTAGCCTTGACAAGCTGTCAGTGTCTCCTTTCAGTAAGATGTTCTTGGAAACAGGAAATGAAATATCACCTGGCCCTTTGTGTTCCTTTTGTTTTCTAAAAATGGTGGTGAGCATTGGTGTCTTGTCCAGAGGCACATTCTCATGCAAACAGTAGTCCTAACCAATACATGCCTCTGAAAAGGGAAAGTGCGTGTGCTGTTGTGAAGAACTTCCAGGTCTCTAAAAAGAACTTCCAGGTCTCTGATCAAATAAGATGGAGTGATGCAACTAACCAAAGGGAGGAATACTGATTCCCAGTGACCACTATAACTCTATTTCTGTGCTAGAGACTTCTGGGAGGACTTAGCTATCCTTGGAAGATTCTGTTCCTTTTAGTGGATTTGATGTCAATGTAATAAAGTCATAGATGCTGGAATAAGAAAGGGTCTTAGAGAATGTGTAGTTTGGCTTCACACCTAGCGTAGCAGATACTTCTGTGACACCCAGAGGATCACCCTCCTTCACCACAATGGTACAGGGCTGAACAACTCGTATATACCCAAGACAGAGTTCCCATCTCGTATAATGGCTGTAGCTGTTAGAAAGATTGTTTTTATGCTGAGCAATAGTGAATCTACTTATAATTAATGTCCATTAGTATCTGTTCTGCTACCCAGAGCTATGCTGAGTAAGTCTGATCTAGCATTCCACATGATTTTTAGAGCTAGAAGGGACCTCAAGAGATCTCTTTGTCTAATCTTCTGAGTTTTGGAAAATGATCAGATATCATTTGATCTCAAGACAGATTTTATGCATTTATGCATTCATTCCTAACACACTGAGCATAAATTATCTATCCAGCATCAGCTTAAGGGCTGGGTTGTAAAAGTGAACAAGACAAAAAACTTGGAAGCTTAAATTCTTGTGCACAAATATTTGTTCTCTTTAGAACAGTTGTGAGAATGGAAATATTTTCTCCTTTATTTTATCTGTATTTTTCATTAATATCTTTATGCATCCAATGACTGATTTCTTTCACAGACATTTCCCCTTTTCAGTTGTTAAAAAATAGTTTTTTTAATATGTTTAACTACATCTTTCTTACTAAAAAGAATTAAAAGGCAATGGTAATTAATTCAGCTCTGTTCTTCCTTTCCCTAAGCTCTCTTCAATTCATATAACCCATTTCTAGAACAACCTGTTTTTTACCTTTAATCACATTGTTCGTCAGTTTCTCTACAATGATTGTAACTAAACATAGTATTTAGGATTTAGTAGAAGGATAATTTCTTCTATTATGCATGCTATCTATCTGTGAACACATACTAGATTCACAGTGGCTTGATTACCTCTCACAATAGTGTCATTTTTAGAAAAATAACTTAATGATTGACAGTGACCCCAGTTGTTTTCAGCCTGAACTTATCATTAGTTACTCATTTCTCTTATCTGGATGTGGGGCTTTTTTTTCTTTCTAGGTAAACATTCTGCTTTAAGTTGGTCCTACCTTATGAGCAACTTCCAAATCTATATTCCCAACTTTGATTACTTCCCAGAAATTTGGTTCCCTCCATCTAAAGTTCTCCTTGACAGTGTGTCACAACATGGAAGTCCAAAAAGCATCTAAACCTTGAAGTGGACCAAATAAAAACAAGCAAAAAGCTTTGCTTCTCCTGTTCTTCCCATTTCTCCATCTCAGCTGCTTAACCATAAAAATCTATGTTGTCCATGATTTCTTACTTTCGCTCAAACAAAACCTGTGTACATTTTATTACCAAATCCTATTGACTTCACTTATAAAAATATCCTTTCCATCTCTTTCTTTTTAGACTACTGTAACCTTTACCCAGACCCCTTTCTACATAGGTCTCTTACAATTGTTACTCTCCCCCAGTTCATCTCCTTGTATTCACTTTGAATCTTGAGAATCTATTCCCCATAAAGAAATGAAAATTGTGTTTTAAAGTTTAAATCAAAACATACCTCTTTCATTTCAGCTGGAAACAAGGTCCCTTATACTCTGCCCAGCCTAATTTTCGGACTCCATTTCTTTCTACTAATCTACTTTCCCACTGATCTACAGCCACTGACCGTCTTTCTGCCCTTTCCACACAGCAGCTTCCTTTCACACTACATCTTCCCTCTGGAATGGCTCTCACCTGGGTCTTTGCATAGTTTGTTCCTTATTATCCTTCAGATCTCAGTTTATTTATTTATTTATTTATTTATTTATTAGAAGATTTTATTTATTTGAGAGAGGGCATGTGAGTGAGAGTGCAGAAGTAGGGGAGCAGCAGAGGGAAAGGGAGAAGCAGACTCCCTGCTGAGCAGGGAGCCTGTTGTGGGACTCAGTTGAAGGACCCTGGGATCATGACCTGAGCCAAAGGCAGATACTTAACTGACTGAGCTACCCAGGCACTCCCTGATCTCAGTTTAAATGTCACCTCTTAAAAGACAACTCTCTTGAATTTTCAATACAAAGTAGTCACTCTCTATCACTCTCTATCACATCACTCTGTTTTAATTGTCTTCATGACGTGTATTTATAACTCATATTTTCTACATCTCATATTTTTTAAATAAGTATTTTCTTCTTTTTTAAGATTTTGTTTATTTTTCAGAGAGAGAGAGAGAGAGAGAGCACAAAGCAGGGTGAGCGGCAGGCAGAGAGAGAATTAGACTCCCAGCTGAGCAAGGAGCCCAATGTGGAACGCAATCCCAGGCCCTAGGATCATGACCTGAGCTGAAGGCCGATGCTTAACCAACTGAGCTACCCAGCCTTCCCACAACTCATATTTTTTAATCTATTTGTCTGAATGTTATTTGTCTCCTCAAGTTAGAATGTAAGTTCCACTTGAGCTAGAGCCTGCCCTTTCCTGTTCACCACTAGATCCTTTGAACAGAGGCCACTGCCAGACCGGGCACATAGGCATCAACAAATATTTGACAAAGGAAACTTATTTTATTTTGATTTTATAGTCTTGTCTTGCCACTATTCAGAGATCCATTAGAACTTTACATCTGTCTCTCTGAGTAGTGGCAAACCACTTTCACTTTCACCTATGGACTTAACAAAGAATTCTCAGTTCCTTTGTCTCTGCCCTCAAGGAGCTACTGCACTGAGATGGGGGAAAAAGGTGCATCCCTTGGGGATACCATTCACTATAGTTACTTCAGAGCATTAAAGAAAACTTCTCGCAATCAGAGAAGTCTAGCTCTCACAAATGGCAGGCCGTGCAGACCCAAATTTCTGATACCTAAGAGATTAAATTTTCTCATGTCATATTTTGTGGAGTTTGTTTAGAGAGTTTTATTTTGTTTTGTTTTTAATAATTAACTCACAATTTTCAAGAGTTAGAAATTACTGATCTCATAAAATCACCTGCATGGCACAGTCCTGAGCTTCCAAGTGGTTCGTTGACCCTAAGTGAAAACCATGGGATCCATTCCTCGCCCTGGCTCTGTAGGGCTGTCTCCTTGCTTATGCCTCTAAACATGGGTTATAATAGACATTGGGCTTCAGTTACTCTGTACGCTAGCTTTCCCACCTGGGTTTTGGCATTTCTTAGTTTTTCTTCTCATCTCATTCTTCTATCTGACCCATGCTGCTTCTCCTTCCATATGAATTCAGTTCATACAACAGACCTTATCTTCCACTTTTTCTTTCTAACTTGGCCTTGGCTTTTCCTTGGCACCTCCATCTCAGAGCTAGAAGGTTGTGATAGTCGCTCCTTGTCTACTCTGTGGTATTTTGTCTTTTCATTGTACAAAGTAACAGTGACTATCTTCTGCCTCATTCTCAGTGGCAGTGGCATGAAGGCTTCTCCTTCCCTGGGATGCTCCTAGTACCCACTGCTGTTTACTCTGAGAAGAAAGGACAGAGGCCTTCAACTCACTTTGGCTTCTTCCTATCAATACAGTAACTAGTTTATCCTAAGTGACCCACACAGAAAACTAAACAAATGATTTCTTATCTCCTAGGCTTCTCTCGTAGTTAACTATTTAGTGGCCACAGCATATTAAAAAAAAAAAAAAAACTATGATTATTTTAGGAACCAAGTAGATCCATGGCAAGAAAGGTAAAGTCCATTCCCAGTCATGCTTTTGTTTTCCCTTTTACGATAAGAAACTCATTTTAAAGAAAAACCATTCAGATCTGCCCAACATTCTCTGCGTCAGCTTGATGGTTATGTAAGCTTCAGCCTATAAAAAAAAAAGTCTGAAATGACCAAATTCTTTAAGAAGTTAAGACAGTATTGTTAACTGTCATCATGTTGTACATTAGATACCTGGAATTCGTTCCTCTTGCATAACAGAAACTTTGAACCCTTTGACCAACGTGTCTTCATTTCTCCTTCCTGCCCCCACCCTGCCACCCCTGTTTGATCAAACCAGATTGATTGTGGCGATCTTTTCACAACATATACATATATCAAAATATTAAGTTGTACACTGTAAATGCATACAATTTTTACATGTCAAAAATAAGTCAATAAAATTACTTTAAAAAAGTTAAGACAGACACCGATAATTTGTGAACTCATAAAACCTTAATGTCAGACTGTCTGCTTTCTTTTTTTGGTGAATATAGACTTAGGTATGCCACAAATTAAAAAAAAAACATATTAAGAAAGTATAAGATAGAGAAAGCATGCTTCAAAAAAAATGGATGGATTGGAAGAGTGTGGCAAATCATTCTTTCTTTTGTTTATTTATTCATTTAACATTTATATAGTGCCAAGGATGTTCCCATTTTTCTGCTAGGTACTAGGAATGCAAAAATAAATAGTATGACCTTTGACCTCAACTCAAAGTTTACTGGAAAAATCAGACATTTATTTATTAAATATCAGGTAAGAAATATTATAATAAAGATGTATGGGTGGTTTTAAGGAGTCATTCGAAAAAGCAGACATATATGACCAGTGAACTCCCAAGATTATACTTTTGAATGGGTGGTTTTAAAGTCCATTAAGAAGTCATCATTCAGCATTATTAAGGGGAGAAGCCTACAGAGTTCCTACAGTTGAACTCAGAGAATCCTGAGTTACGGAGTCAGGGAAGAATGAAGATTTAATTTAGCCAAGAAGGATCTCAGGGACTGAAGCAAGTAAAGCTGCCTTGGGGAAGAAGGAAGGTCAGGTACTTGATAATATCAACAAAGGGGAAAAAGCCAGCACTCAAAATTGCCCCAGTCTCCTCCACTAGTAACACTTCCCTTTAAAGAGTTTCAGGTGTTATAACCACAAAGGGCTGGACCTTTTCTTGCCACTGGACAAAAGTTGGCACAGCATTGCCTGGTTCATCTTAGACACTCAGCACTCATCTCTAAAAGCTCCTGAAAGTGGCACTGGGGAGGGAAAATGATCCTAGCATTCATTCTGAACAAATAGGAAATGTTTTTTTTGTTTTTTATTTTAAGTTTGATCTGAAAGGCACACACCTCCCCTCTCTTAGGGTACACCCTGCACTACTCTATTTCTCTGTGTCAGAAACTCCAAGGACTGAATTGATTGTGCTGTAAATTGAACCTTGGGTTCCATTCTGATTACTTGAAACGTGATACTATCCACTCAGCCCTCGTGTTTGGATTGGTTTTGGTTGTTTTTTGATTCTAATATGTTGAAATATTTCTGCATCTCTGGTGCGGTCTCAGCCTGGGCCAGGAAATGTAGTTTTGATCAACTCTCATAATAATGTGGGGAGACGTTAAAGGTGAGTACCTATTGATAATTCAGACTGCCAGAAAGTGAGATGCAGAAGAGACTTTAATAACCTGAAAAATGGTTGCAAAGGAGTGTGGTTTGATTTTCAGCTGTCTCTTCCCTGTATTTGTTTCTAACCCAGGGTGAGTTTTGACGAGGGCCACTCCTGGGACAAGTATGGCTTCACTTCGGTTCCTCTCTTTGTTGACGGGGCTCTGGTGGAGGCGGGAGTGGAGACCCAAATCATGACGTGAGTACTTATTCTGCTGTGCTGATAGGAGCCTGAGATATGGGTTCTTTCTCCGCTGAGGCCGCAGGTTTTCCTGGGGAACCCCAAAACATTCCAATCTGGTCCCTAGTTTCCTCATCTGTAAAGTGGAAGTATATGTTCTTATACCCACCAACTCAGAAAGCTACTGACAACATCTAAAAAGCTAGGCTCTTAAGTGACCAGTTGCTTCTAACAGTATTTAGGATATTCTAACAAATTTCCATGTATCCAAAATCCAAGCAAACAGAAAGCTTCAGTCTTTAGACATGGCCTGTTTCTTTCCAAAATGGTCCAGTAGGGGGCAAGGGACAGGGACAAGTATAACAAATAAAACAGCCAACATACTGGAATAAGGGAATATTTTAAGGGAAACTCCTGGAGTCTGTGACATACACACACACACACACACACAGTTGTCATTTTACATTTTTCTCTGTTCCTTTACACCGAGAATAGATGATCTTTAAGTTATAAAAATCCTCAGAGTGTTTTCTGAATATTAAAGAAAATTTTAATGATTTGGTACTAGTTTTTAAAAGTTTTGTCTCCCCATGTCCTCCCCATGTCCTCCATGTTATTTGTTATGCTCCACAAATAAGTGAAACCATATGATAATTGACTCTCTCTGCTTGACTTATTTCACTCAGTATAATCTCTTCCAGTCCTGTCCATGTTGATACAAAAGTTGGGTATTCATCCTTTCTGATAGAGGCATAATACTCCATAGTGTATATGGACCACATCTTCCTTATCCATTCGTCCGTCCAAGGGCATCTTGGTTCTTTCCACAGTTTGGCTACCGTGGCCATTGCTGCTATAAACACTGGGGTACAGATGGCCCTTCTTTTCACTACATCTGTATCTTTGGGGTAAATACCCAGTAGGGGGAGATGGAGAGGAGAAGGGAGTTGAGGGAAATTGGAAGGGGAGGTGAACCATGAGAGACTATGGACTCTGAAAAACAACCTGAGGGTCTTGAATGGGCGGCGGGTGGGAGGTTGGGGGAACAAGGTGGTGGGTATTAGGGAGGACACGTATTGCATGGAGCACTGGGTGTGGTGCAAAAACAATGAATACTGTTACACTGAAAAGAAAAAAAAAATGTTATAAATGTTATAAAGTTGTTCAATTAAAAAGTTAAAAATAATCTTGAAAAAAAAATAAATGGTTTTATATCTGTAAAAAAAAAAAAAAAAAGTCTGTCTAACTCTAATTCCTAAAGAGCTGATCACCTATGTGTGTTTGTGTGCACATGGATACGTAGAGGTATATGGGGGGATGGTCACGGTAGCCCTCCACCAGCCAATACCACCATCGCCTCCTGCACTTTGCAGTGACTAGAGCATTGTACACCTTCATCTTCGTTGAACGGACTGAAGGGAGTCACTTGGCAAGATTAAGGAAACCTGCCATGTTGTGGGGTTGACACAGAGGGGCCCACAGAATACTTCTCTGCTGGTTTGAGGGAAGAGTGTGGTCTTCTTCCCCTAGGGAATCCTGCTATTCTTTGGGAAGCTTTGCATTCATGAATGTCTTTATAGTTTGAATCAGTCTTTTCCTGAATGAGACTTATGGGCTTTGAGGAGGAGGCAAATACAGGGCAAATGGCTAGTTTTGTACTTTCTTTTCCTGAGAGTATCAGTTTTAAAAAGTCTGTGACAACTGCAGCTGTGCAGTTTTGTCCAAGTGTCATAGTCTGGACCCCAACTTGACTTCTTTGCCATGTCCCACCTCTTTAGGTCCATTCTGACATCCAGAGTGTTGACTGGCCAGTCGTCTGGGCTTTCCAAGTAACAGAAAATACTCAGCTGTGATGAAAACTGGTGCATAAATTGGGGAGAACAAACAAAGGGACAAAAATCTCACCCCCAGTTTCAGGCACCTGAGCTCAGATTCTGTGCAATCCAGTAGCTATGACTTACCTGTCCGGTAGCTAGCCATGCTGGATCTTCATTTCTTCCTTTCTAAGATTGAATCAATCCTTCTGCTTCTTTTTAAAATGTTGAAATCCTAAAAATCTCCTTTTTAGCAAGTTTAGCAGAAGCCTGTAATGATCTCATGTCTATAGGACTTGTCTAGAGAAAAAGTCCAGGATTCCCAGTGCCCTCATTATTACAAAAAAGGTTTATAATAGAAAACCTGAATGGTTACACAAGAATGCCTTTAAAACATTTAGGACAAGTGCAAGAAAGAGTGATTTTAAATTCTCTTCTTTAATCCTCTCTGAATTTTCTAAATTGCCAGGGAAATATTTTCTTTGAACTCCAAGGGTGGTGAACGTGTCCTTTTAAAGACTGAACACTCATTTTTGAGCATCAGCTATGTTTTAGGTGCTGGGTTGGGTCCCAGAGCTCTGTGGTTGAAAATGGAAAGAAAGGATATCAAGCCCTAGGAAAAGCTGCTCTGATCCTCCCAAGGGGTATATTGCATTAGTAACTGATATCTGTAGATGTGCACCTGTGTTATGGGAAGACTTCTCTGGGCAGTTCTGTTGTAAAATGTGAGCAAGGATATCCCATAGAATTTGCTGCTCAGGATGTAAGGCTGTTTTTTGAGTTTCGTCCAGTACTTTCTTCCCATTTTCTTAAAATACACCTTCTATAGAATTGTCTCACCAACTAATTTCTAATTAAGGTTTCTGAATAAATAGACTCTTATTGTTAGGCTGAGAAATCACTTTATTAAGAGTTAACAATACTGTATGCAAGTGTAGCCGTATAAGCATAGACAGTATTTAAGATACAGCATATTATTACTGATGCTTAGAGCCTAAAGTTTCATCATTGGGTGGATACCCAGCAATAATGTGTAGCCTAAGTTCTGGATGTTTAAAGCAAGTATTGTAGGATAAATATTATTTCTAAAATACAAACAGTTTGGGATATATGTAGATATACCTGTATCATAAGTATATATATGCAACTGTATGTGTATACTGATGCACACACACACATACGTGTATGTACATACGGAGATAGGTAACAGAGATACAGTGAAAGAGAAAGCCCAAGGATTTAGGGTCCTGGCAAGATCTTTGTAAGGTTATACTGTAAAAGAATAATAATAATAAACCTTAAAAAATTATTGGTACCTATATGGTAAGGACTGTTCTAGAAGGACAAATCAGAAATTCCTGTCTTCATAAAGTTTGTGTGCTTGTGCATTAAATAAATGTGAATACAAATGACTCTATTATTTTACCTAGAATACTCTGCCAGGAGATCAAGATGTTTTCTTATAAATTCTGGGGTGCATATGAACTACTGGGAATACCACCATCTTTGTTCAGGAGGATCTCTGATAGGAGATAACTTTTGCAAATTATTTCCTGTCCTTTGTTTGGTCACTAGCTATAAAAAGAAAACCTTCCTCTTTTCTAGGACTTCCTGATACTGCCATCAAAGAGTTAAAGTATAATTTTAAATTCCATAAGGCAAAAGGTACACACATTCAAGAAGGTTGTATCGTTGGCCTGAATTTATTAAACCAGATGTCGCTGCTCATCACAGTCAAACCTGACATGGTCCTAGAATGCCCAATACTTGGGCAGTGAAGAGATACATATGGTTCTAAAGTAAGGTATTCCTTGCTTTTGTGTGAAAGACACATACTGGTCCCTCTTTTTTTTTTTTTTTTAAGCTTTCTCCTCCTCCTATAATAAGACTTTTCCTGCATCTTCTTGGGTGGAACCTCTTTAAACTCATTGCATGCTTCTCTTGGGCATTACTTTGAATAATATCCCATGTACACCAACCTCTATATGACCGGGCATTCCCTAGCAAGTCTAAGGGTACAGTTTAAATTCTGTGTTCATCTAATCTTAAATGGTAATAATTTTTTTCTCAGCTTCAGATGGAGTTTAGCTGGTCACATGGATATGAGGGAGATTGACCTCAGGGCCAAACCATTTACTGAAAAGACGAGATAGCACTCCTATTTTCCTTTCCTCCCCACTCTGACTCCGCAAGAGCAGGAAAAGAATTCTGCCCCCTTCTACCTTCTTCATCAAGATACTTCAAATGCTAGCAAGTAGAAAAAGAACGAGGGTAGAGCATAACTGTCTTACATAGAATTTGGGACAGACTGGTACTTGTCTTCTCATGAAATTAAGATGAGTTTGGAAGCAGTTGTCCAAGTATAAGCAATTCAGGCTGCCTGTTTTCAACTTTTTATTAAATCCAGAGTGTCTCCAGTATGAAAATGATCCAGATGTTGTCAGGGCTCTTCAGACAAACACAAGTGTGAGCCCTGGAAAGATTGTCATGAGGCAGTTTCTGTCTCTGCCTTAGATTTGAAAATGACTTTAAAACAAGGTGACCCAATAGGGCCAAGCAGAGCTATTCCCTCGTGGAATGACAATGACATGGATTGAAGTAGGAGTTCAAAAAACTTGATATATCCCCTAAGCACTATGAGGGCAAGGGGCCCATTTGGGGATAAGTCTGCTTACTCTTGGCCATTTAATCAAAAACTCACTCATGATAGCCTATTTGACTCTGTATTTTTCTCCTCATGGCTAACCCTGACTCTCTAGCTCAGCTATGGTCAGGGAGGAAGAAAGCCTTGCTCATTCTCACTAAGGTTTGATTGGCTTATCTCGTTACCTTCATTTGGAGGATTTAAATATTTATCAGTTTAGAATAGTTAATTTTATATGTCCTCTTGACAGGGCCACAGGGTACCTAGATAATTTGGTCAAACATTATTCTGCATATTTCTGTGAGGGTGTTTTTAGATAAGACTAATATTTAAATGGTAGACCTCCTAAAGCAGATTGCCCTCCCTAATGTGGGTGGGTCTTATCCCATCAGTTATAAGTATGAATAGAACAAAAAGTCTGACCTTTCCCTGAGCAAGAGAGAATTCCAACTGCCTGGCTGCCTTTGAACTAGGAGATGGCTTTTTATGGCATTTAATTCCAACTAAAAAAATCCATTCTTCCTGGGTTTCAAGCCTAGAACTACTCTTATCAGCTCTCC